ATCTGTCCATCAGACAGAGTGCTGCTGTGACCTCCTGTACATCATTAATGGACATCTCTTTAAAATGACCGCTAAGAGGAGAGGAGTTCTCATTTCTCTAACCGCCTGCTGCTTCCCCTCCTCTCTCCTCGGTTCCCCTCCTCGGCTCCTCCGCTCGCATCTCCTGTGGGCGGGACTAAGTCTGGAGGATAGGAGTCTAGGATAGGAGTCGAGGAGGGGAGTTAGAGAAATGAGAAAGGGCCAGGGTGTTAATGGAAGAGTTTGAAATCAGACAGAAGTGGAAGAAGTACTCAGATCGTGTGTAGGAATACTCTGTTACAGTAAAAGTCCAGCATTCAAAATGTTACTCAAGTAAAATTAGAAAAGTATTATCGAAATATAGTTAAAGCACCAAAAGTAAAAGTTGTGCAGATTGGTCCATTTCAGAATAATATATATGATATGTTTTACCATATATATTATTTATATTTATCAAGTCTGATTTAAGACTTGATTATATTTCACACCATTCATCCACATCTGTAAAGTAACTAAAGGTATTCAATACATGTAATGGAGTAAAAGTAAACCATTTACCTCTGAACTGTAGTGGAGTAGAAGTACAAAGTAGCATCAAAGTCAATTAAAGTACAAATATCTCAAAATTGTACTTAAGTACAGTACTTGAATAAGTGTACTTAGTAACTTCCCACATCTGAAATCAGATATGACTTCAAGTCATGTGATCATTTCTTAGTATTTGATCCTTCAACTTGGCCTCAGGAAATGCAAGGACTTCAGTTTTGGCAACAAGTTTTGGAGAAAGCAAATCGGAGGCTTAAAAAGAGACAGGGAGGTGCATCTTAATCATCTTCATCATCTAGCATGCAAGAAGTGTAAATAGAGGACAGTGAAGGAGACACTGAGGAGGACCACGCTTCGTGTGGGGTGAGTACCAAACGCTGTCTCCTGGTACTCATCTGAGTAACTCATTAAAAAAGTTATGTGCACCCCTGTACATAACACACAAGGGGACGGGTGATAACCGGAAAAGCATGACATGGGACCTTTAAATCCCACAACTGACCAAGTACTGTTAATGGTACTCTTGGGCACTATTGATGTACCCTTGAGCAAGGCACAAGATCCCCACACTTCTTTCTGTGCGTATTTTCACATTGCACTGCTTCTTAATTAAATGCATTCTAATTTTCACTAGCACGTTTGTCAAAAGAAAATATAAAGCTGTAAAATAACTTTAAATGAGTAATAAGTAGGCTGCAATATAGGTAACAGCAGGACAGGAAATGCAGTTACATTCCACCCCTGACGGTGACAGCACATGATGAACCTACCACCGCGGGTCCTCCTCCGAACTTAGCCCGCCTGAAGTGCTCCGGCGCGGGGACACATTCCAGCCCGGTGGCCGTGAGCAGTCTGCACAGAGCCGCTATCACCTGCTTCACCTCCACACTTACTGCCGCTGCACTGCGCTGCATTACACACAGCTGAGTTACTATACGAGTATGAACAAACTGTATATCCACTCAGCTATTACATTAAGACCAGTACCGACAACCTTTTTCACACAATTTTTAAAATCTAACGCTTGAAGTTGAGTTCCGCGGCGAAGACAACAACTTCCGGGTACGAGGCTGTTGCCAGGGAAGTGACTCTTCTTCTCCTTCTTATATTTCGGTGTTATGGTGCCGTTAAACTGCGTTACCGACACCTAGGACCATGATAAAGTCTACACTTATGAAACAAACATCCAACAAGCAAATATTGAAAACCATTCTGTGCAATAATTGTGTACAAATCAACGCAATTTATGTATTTTAATGCCTGCAAAAAAAAACATTTATAATTTGGCATTCTAAATTGGTTTTCCCTCTGCCTGTACTAGAAGTCAAATCTAAAAAAGCACTTCACATCTGGAAATAAATGTGATGACAACAATAAATAAAGTGTCTTGCTTTAGAACCGTTTAGAACTGAATCTATACTATATTATCATATATTATCAAGGCACAACTGATTTACTTCAACAGTATTTATTTCAAAAATCAAAATCATAAAAAAACATCTTACAATTGTATGTACAAACCTAACTGAATAATTAAAAACATGAAAATAATTGTACACAGATAATGTGTAATGTAAATAATGAAGACATGCTACATGCATTAACCTTGGTATCACAATGAACAGGAACAATGTAGAATGTATTGATCCAAAATAAGCCTGAAAATAGAGTAGTTTCAAAAACTCTTGACAGACAATACATGACCTCAAACACAGGGCCAAACTGATCTATGGATGTGTTTAGGTCATCCGAGGTTTCACTCTGAAAAGCTAGGGAGGTGTAGATGTATACAGTATGGTCCCTTCAAATCCCATGAGAATAGTAAATAAAAACTTAACCTCCTAATGCAATGCTACTGCTAATAACCGTCTGAGAAGTTAGTTTGGTAATAGAACCTAATTTCAGCGTATTCGAGAATTCTGATAGCAAAAACAGTATGAAATGTCCAATTTGACGTAAATGTGTGTGTGTGTGTGTGTGTGTGTGTGTGTGTGTGTGTGTGTGTGTGTGTGTGTGTGTGTGTGTGCTACATTGTGCTTTAGTTCTTGCTAGAGGTACATAGAGATGCATACAAAATCAAGGACAATAAAAAAACAAACATTGTAAGTTTAAAAAGTTTTTTTGGCCACATTACTTCTGTTTCAATTTTCAGTTTAAAATGGTGCGGTGGAAGGCTTCTGTGTATTAAGCCTCTCTCCAATTCTGCATTTGTATTAGTCACTTGCACTATTTCATGTCTTTTTATTCTTATTTCTAAAGTATATTGAATGTTGCATTGCTGGAGGAGCCTTCAGAAGGACTTACGGTTTGTATTGCCAACAACTGCGCTGTAGCTATTGTGCATATGACAACAACACTTTTGAATCTTTTAATAAGGTCTCATTAAAAGCTTTTTTATGGTAGCAAGCCCAGCAGGTATTAACCATTTAATAATTGTTTTATAGTTTTAAAATGTACGTGTGTGCTTTTATTGGTGTGCTGTTGTAAAAGTAATTTTGTATAAAGGAAAGCACCATGACAAACCATACAAAACTTTAAAAAGGGAAGACTCTTTGGAAAGGTGATTCTAGTTTTGCAGATGGTTACGCTTCTCAGCTTTCTCCATCTCCTTCGTCCACTTCCGGTTTGATGACTGGGGTCCCTGAAAAAAATGAGAAATGAAATTAGCTAGCTAGAATGCTAATTCATTCATTCCAGGCTTAGGGCTCAAACCTGCACCACTGTGTTGATGCAGAATCAGTCTTACCATCTAGTTTCTTCAGATTGGGAAGTCTTTTGGAGGCTTCATCCATCCAGGTCCCTTCAGATGAGTGCTTGTCTTCCAGAGGATTTCCCACAAACACCAGGTCTACCAGGCAGGGCAGGTCAGCTAGCCTCACAAACTCTCCTACAACACAGAAAATACATCATACTAAATGATACCAGCAGATATACCAGAGTGATCCATGACTATGGATATGGAAGCCCATGTAGATGCAGTGGTTAGTGAAAGCTACATTTATGTTTGTATTATGCATCTCTCTTCTTCTATTTTTAACTAGAGCATGTGTGGCATAAGACAAGGATAAACCTATCAATATGTCAGAAAGAAGCGCAGTGACTGGATACGTGCAGCAGACTTTGAGACGATCATCGCCCAAAGCATCTTCCAGCCATCCTGCCAGAGAGCTACACCTGCGACCTAACTACCATGAAGGAGGTAGCGACCAGCAGGAGACGAAAAGAGCTAAGAGCTAAGCTAACCAAGCTAGGACCTGTAAGGCTATTCCACTACCCAGAATGCTCCTGGCTGATGTCACAGGAAAAAGACACTCTGCTGTACTTTGTGACTTCATCATGGTATTCTGGATCATGCTGTAACTAGACGAGAGAAGGCGGACACTGCGTGGCTTGGTGCTCAAACGTCAAAGTTGATGGTAAGTGTTTTTCTTAAAGTGGACCTATCGTGCTATATTTGAATAATATAGTGTAGGGCCATACCTATATAAGGCATATTTATACTTTTTATTTTTCAAAATACCAAGCAGATCATGCACTTTGCATGGGCTGATTCTGTGAGAACAGCACCATCTACAGGCCTGGCATATGTACTACAGCGTCTCCAGCGCTTTCGAACGGCAATGTCCGTGGCTGTCTCCTCCTGATCGGTGGAGTTGGCCCAATAGCCGTAGCGCCACTTCTGTGACACAGAAGTGTTCAAATCTGGATCAGTCTGTATCAGATCCGTT